ATTAAAAAAAAAAAAAAAAAAAAAAAAATACGAAACATGAATTACCAACAAAGAGAAGTTCCTTTTGAATTAAGTAAGGGAATTAATACTAATAAAGTAGATGAAGACAAACTAAAAAATATTATAAAGGATATAGATAATTACTATGATTCTAATAATTCCGATTTAAATAGTGTTTTGAAAGAATTACAGTTTTATAGAAAAAATAAAACTAATTTAAAATTATTATTTCAAATTAAAAATATAACAGTATGCTTTATAAAAAAATTAAAAGAGGATTTGGAAAAATATTTAAATGAGGAAAATAGCAAATTTAAAGATGATTATTCAAAAACTATTAAATTAAAAAATAGTAAAATATTAGGAAGTTATAAAAACAATATGTATTTAAACAATTACTTAAATATTGATGTAGGTATAGAATATGATATTGATACAAAATTAGGAAAAAAAAGTAAATATAAAAATTTTCATATGTACCATAATATGTATATTAATTTGTTAAAACATTTTTTTTATGAAAAAGATTTTATTAAGTGTATAAAAGAATCAAATATATCAAATAGTCTTGATATTTGTATATGTGTAAATAGGTGGACTAATAAAATTAAATCTGTTTTGATGTTAAATATTTTTAGAAAAAAAACATTTATTGGAAGCATTAAAGTATTATTATATCCTACAAAAAAAGTTTGTTATAGCTTTTCTAATGTTTATAAAAAATATTATATGGTTCTAGAAAATATAGAGGATAAAAATTTTAATAATAATAATAATAATAATAATAATAGTAATATAACTGGTACTACTGAAAAAATTAAAAAAATTACTAGAAAAGATGGAAATGATAAAAAAATAGATGAAAAAGAAATTGAAAATAGAATGAATAAAATACGTACAAATAAAATTATTTTAAAAAATTTTATATTAACAGAATGTCATATAATTGAATGTGAAGATATAATAAAAAATGCCATTAAAAATTTTAAAGGATACAGAAAAGCTGTAAAACTTTTAAAATTATGGTGTATAAATAAAAAGCTATTACATGTTTTTAAGTATCAAAATAATATCAAATTTAAGAATTCGGAAAAGTATAAATTTTTGAATTTCTTTTATCATGGTGACATTAATTCATTTATTCTTGGTCTCCTTTGTAGTTATGCATGTTTTTCCTTTAAATTAAGTAATTGTGATTTTTTTCAAATTTTTAAAAAAACTGTAAATTTTATAAGTTCTATAAATCTTTGTGAATGTTTTTATGAGTACCAAAATGGGATATACAAAAAATCAGAACAGAAAAATAATTCGCAACCACATGCTTTTTTAATAAATTCCATATATGAAATATTTCAAAATAATGTGTGTTCTTTTATTGAGTTAATAGAAGAAGCGAAAAAAGCTGAATATTATCTGAAGACAAATAATTTCTTTGAATTATTTCTTTCAAACAATAACTGTTTTCCATTTAATTATGAAGAAGAGTTATTTTTCCCATTACTCATAAATAACAACTTTTATAATTATGATGAAAAAATTGGTTATATAAAAAAAAATCTAATTAAAAGTTTAGACGATAGAATAGAAGAATTAACTTTTAGATTAGTATCATATGACTTTTATGAAAAAAATTCACAAAATCTATCATGTAATAATAATAAAATAAAATATGTTATAAAGAATGAAAATAACTTAAATAAGAACCAAAATGGAGATATTCTAACTATTTTTCAAGATGTTTTTTTTAGAAAAAATAAAGATAACGAAATAACCAAAAATATAATAAAAAAAGGAAAATTACAAGGAGTTTCTTTTTTTATAAAAACAAATAATACAATGAGATGTATGGATGTATCAAAAAAATTATATAAACCAGAAAAAAAATCCAATTTTAGAAAATTTTGGTTAAATAAGGTAAAAATAAGAAGATTTGAAAATAATACAATTTTTGAAGTATTAATGTGGAAAAAACCAGCAAAAATTATGAATTTAAAAAAAAAAAAAAAAAGAAAAGAATCATGTAATGAGAAAAAAACCAAAAAAAGTAGTATAAATAAAGAACAAGTAAAAATAAAGACTGAATCTAAAGAAATGATAAAAAAGAAAAAATTACAAGAAGATTTAAAAGAATGTAAAAATAAAGAAAATATAAATAAAAGATATAAAAGCAGTGAAACTAACAATAAAAAAGAAAGTGAAAATATTAAAAATGATATTTTGAAAAAGGAAAAGAATAGCAACAATAATGATAAAACAAATTATACGGAGGAAGATGATGAAATTAGCAAAATTAAATGCAACAAAAATAAAAGTATTGAAGATACAGGTAATTTTGTATTTGATGCATTATTTAGTGAATTACAAAGTAATAAAACTAATTCCGTTCATGTGCAAATTATTAAATATATATTAAAAACAATGAAATTTAAGGAATGTTATGATTTAAAAAATACATTATATGAAAAAGTAAAATACTTAAAAACAAATGATCACTTTTTTCATTGTGGAAAAAAAGTTAAAAATAAATCTTTTTTTGTGTATTTTACTAACCCATTATTAATAAAAGATTTATATTTTACCTATTACGAAATAATTTTTGAATACTATAATGAAATAAAAAGTATCATTTATAATATAAATGAAAAATTATTCACAATTTCCAATATTAATAGTTCAAACAATTTATTAAAAATGTCAGATATAGGTTATAAAAAAAATAATACAAAAATAATAGATGTTGTTATAGATTTAAAATTTAACAGTAATATTTACAAGAACGCACAAAACTTTTTCAAAAACTATGAAATGGCTAAAATTATAATAAAAAATAAACTTACAAATAATGGAGGTTCTTTTAATAAAGTAGAACAAAAAAATTTTTTTATAGATGTTCATTATAAATTAATAATTTTTAGATTACATATATTTGTTAGTAAAATAATAGAAAAAAATTTAATTCAAATTACTAATCTTGATGATGTGAAGATTGATTATGTTGAAAATATTGAAAAAATAAGAAATTATATATATAAGCCACTTATATCATCCTTTATTTATTTTTATGGAACAAAATTTTCTTCTTTTCACACCTCTTTAAAAATATGTAAACTATGGTTTGTATCAAAAGGAATTTATTGTGTAGATGAATTAGTAGAAAATATTTTATTTTATTTATACACAGAAGAATTTAAGAAACATAATAGTATGAATCGATTTTTTGAAGATAGCAATTTATCTATTTATAATAAAAGTTTAAAAAATTTTTTACTTCAACATAAAATACTGTACATGATAGGAAATTTTGAAGATAATAATTATTTTAACACTATGATAAAGCAAAAACATAGTAATAATAACCATGGATTATTAACAAAAAAAAATAAAAATAATCAGAAACAAAATACTCTTGATAAAAATGATAGTGAAGATTTGGAGGAAGAAGAAACAGATAGCGATTTTTTAGGGAATAGAGAAAATGAGCAAAATAACCAAACAGTTAATAATAGAGATAATTCAAAAAATAACTCAAAAAATAAAAAAGTTTCATCCATTCTCAATTTAAAAAAAGATGAAAAAGAAGATGATGCATTTTTAGATAACTTCTCCTTTTCTTCAAAAACTATTTTAATTAAATTTTTAAATTTTCTTATAAATTACGATTGGATAAATAAACCATTAATAATTGACTATGATGGTTGTTTGAGTGAAGAACACAAAATAAAATTAATTAATTCATTCGTAGTTAGAAAAAAAAATGGTGAAGAAAAAAAAAAATTTTGGATATGCTCTATATATGATCCTCATTGTGTATTAATTTCATTACCACATAATCTATTTGATGTAATAATAAATTCTGCAAAGAATACTTTAAAAATAATAGAAGATCTTCATAATAATTTTGATAAAACAAAGTGGTTTTCTTTATTTCTTATAGAAAAAAGAAAATATGATATTATTTTACACTTTAATCAAGCAGATAAAGCATTAAAACTTTTCAAAAAAAAAATGATGACTACGGAAAGTAAAAACAAAAAAAAAGGAGAAAATTCCCATAGAAATAATGAAACCGATGGAAGTAATAACAAAAAAGAGGAAGAAAATTTTGAGGAAAACTATATAAATAATGAAAAAAATATGGAAATAGACGAAAATAACAATATTGATGATAGTGAGAATAACATTTATAAGATGGAAGAAATTTATGATTTAGATTATTTAGAGAAAATAAAAAAAACAAATACAAAACCATCAGATATGTTACATAATTTGAAAAAGTGTGAATTACTACATATATATAAAAATCATTTCGACAGTTTTATTAAAAATTTAGAACAAAATTTTTCTTCTCATATAACTATTTTATATAATTCCTTATGTTTTGATGAAGTTTTAAATACTCATAACTTTAAAAAAAAAATAAAACGTAAATTAAATAAATTGCCAAATAAACATTCTGATATACTTAAATCTTGGATGCCTTATGTTTTTATTACATTTAATCCTCTCTATATTAATAATGTAGAAATAATGTCAAATCAAAATAATCTACAAAACAACTCATTTAACTCATCCATAGCTTTGAACAATTTTAATTTGTTAATATATTATATAAAAAATAATGCAACAGATATACTAAAAGATGTTAAATTTCCTACCATATAAAAAAAGGCAAAAGTAAAAATTTTTTAAAAATTATATTTTTCAACTGAGTTATATTTTAAGCTGTAAATATATTTTTTCCTTTTTTTTTTTTTTTTTTTTTTTTTTTTTAATTTAAATTTTT